TCCCTACAGCGTCCAATTTAAACAAAGCAAACGAACAACAATTACAATACCTTTTTAATACCCTGAAGAACTAAGTTAAAGTAGTCACATTACCTGTACAGTAACAGCACACTGCTGGACAACAGAAATACACTAGAACAATCAAAAGTGATTTCATGAAGAGATGTCCCAAGTTCGCACCACACTCAGCAAACTTTTCAAACACCAACAAGTCTGAAGCAGGAGAGAAGTGAACCTCTCTCCACATTGTTTCTTCTGCGTCCCTGCAGCACATTCTCTGACGAGCACCACCTGTGGGCAATCTGCTACTGCCAAGCAAGCAGATAAAGAGAAAGAGAGCACATACACAGGATAGCATAGCCACACCCAAAGGGGCAGGAAAAACACTTAAATAAATATTCATATAATACATACATCCTAGGGATGTAACAATCTATTTATTTATTTAAGTAAAACAGGTTATTGGTGTATGTTTTAAGAAAATACAATTTCAGTCATTCTACTTCAAAATTTCACATTTAATTCAATTCCGTTTCTTTGTAATAGTGAAAATTGTTTAAATCCCATTTTTTCAGTGTACAAAATGCAATAAAGTTAATCAAATAATAAATAACGCTTGATTAAAGTTAATTTCTCAGTCTAATAAAACACTCAGAGATCAGTGATTTAATTAATGACTCACAGAAATTTAAAGCACTATTTTATCATACAAAGAATGGTAAAAACCTGTGTTGCAATCTGGTTTGTCCACTAGATGTCAAGAGTACATTATTTATCTGTAGCAATGAATCAGAAGAGGATTTATGTGAATGTGGAGTTTATTCCAGATGATGAGAAACACATATTCCTGTGTTTTCCCTCCTAATGTGACATGACAAATGCATGTTGAGAACAGCCAATCACATTCAAAATAGAGGACTGTTTCTGCCACACTGAAAAAAAAAAAATAACGTTATAAAATATAAATTACCTTGTATTGACTATGACATAAAGACATTTAAATGATAATTGCATTGTCACTAAGCCACAGCTGGCAGCTTTTTTTTTTTTTTTACAAAAATCAAATTACAAAATTAACAAACATTTCTATAGTAAACACACTGGAAAAAATAAAAACATACACTAGTCAATTTCACCAATAATTACAAAGAACAGCTAATAACGTTGAATTAAACATGAAATTTTGAAGTAGAAAAACTTAAATACTTTTTTCCTTGTAAAACATTCTGCAAAAGTTCTATTTTATTAACTTCGAAAACTATTTATTTACGTTGTACTTTTGGAATTGCTGAAGTTACTACCAAAGTATTACTTTTTTTCGTCTGTAAATGCACAAAGACTTTGGAAAAATTTTTTATAATTTTGATGTACAGGCCATCATATCACTTTTGAAATCATTAGTTTGATAGCACAGATGTGCTGTACTTACTGTATATTATGCAAGAACTCCTCTAACAGTTGATGTGTCTTCAGCTGATGTCTTTTATTTTTAATGATTTATTTGATTTGTATTATTTCAATTTATTATAATTGTTTATTTTTGTATTTATTTATTTTTACGCAAAATGTAAATATATATTTTTGCCCAACTACTCTTAAAAATAAAGAGTTGAAATTGCTTAAATTATTTGTATGAGTTAAAGTAACTTAAAAACATAAGTTGTCATGGCGTTTTCATCATATCATTTTTTACAGTGTGCTTCAAAAGGTTTAAACTTTTTTTTTTTTTTTTTTTTTTTTACAGTGTACTGTTGCAATTGATAACTTTTTTTGCTCAAATGCATGAAATGTTTGAAGATAAGTTTATTTAGTTTGAGTTATGGTTTGTGTTTCTGAACATGTTGCATCACTGTCACTATTGTCTGAACAGCTGAAATATTGATGAGGTCAAACAAACAGGTGCAGTGATTTCTCCATCGGTGAGAAGCGCTCCAGCAGAGGGCAGTGCGACACACACACACACACACACACACACACACACACACACACACACTTCAAAGCGAGGAGACGTGTTTACAGTCAGAATCAACTGTGTGTGTGTGTGTGTGTGTGTGTGAAAGCTGAGCCTGTGAATCACTGTGACACTTCAAAGTAAGACGTTCTCTCTCTTAAATCTGACTCATTGTTCAAACAGAATGTGTTGAAGAGCGTCGTAAACGCGGCTGTCGTTCTCCGCGTCTCGTCTCCTTTGGTACCTGCTGACCTCGTTACAACGTGGCTTACTGCCAGAGCCAGTGTCACTTTTATTTACAGCTTCATATCGCAAAATAAAGGTGATTTTCCAGGATGCATGTGATTTCTGCACACATTCACCAAAGGAATCATGTGGTTTTATTCCAAATGCATGTTGTGTTGCTGAAATTTGCTGAGAAAACAAATCAAAATTGTCCTGAAATGACAGAGAACATGTACTTTAACAGCGTAGTTGTTCAGCTGGTGCCGATCAGCAGTGATGATTGTCAGCGTGTGAATGATATAATGCAATGACTTTCAGGAGGCTGAACTTATTAAAATGAATCTGTAGGTGCTTTTTGTGGCATAATCTGTTGTGGTTTATCTTGCATAACACAAATTGGGTTTTACCATTTAAATGCAACATGAAATCAAAATGTTGTTAGGGTTGTTGAATACATATACCACAGTACTGAATAATGAGTATATGGTATTCCAATGTATTGCAAAGATTACCTTGGAATTAGCATTACATAAAACTATATTAATACCTTTTAATACCATGGTATTTTTTGATACTGTTTTGTCTGTAAATGCACAAATAGCCTTTAGAAATTTTTTTGATAATTTTGATAAACTTTTCTCTGCTGATAACATACAGAACATCATCATAGCAGAATTTTGGAAATATAAATTTGGTACCACACATGTTAATATTATGCAAGAATCCATGTAGTATGAGACAAAAGCTCCTGTAACAAAATAAGAGCTTTTTTATTGTAATTTTTTAATTAATTTTTAAAATGCATTATTATTATTAATATTATTATTATTTTATTGCTATTTTATTTTGTCACAAAATATAAATATATATTTTAAAAAATTACACAACTTGATTGTTTATAATATCGCAAAATGTAAACTATATTATCATCCAGATCTATTTTTCTAAATGTGTCTGTAAGGCATAAAGATATTGATATATCATTAATATTAACATCAACATTTTCTGTGAAACTGCTTTGAAACAATGTTTATGAATGTTTGTGATTTGTGAAAGTGCACAGATAAATTTGAATGAAGAAATTTGAATAAAACAAAACCGGTGAAAGAACCGGTGAGAAATCAAGCTCGACTTCCTGTGCCGCTCCAGTGTGAGTAAATATTAACATAATTAATCACTGTCCAAACGTCAAGCACAACACAAGAGCTCCCATAAGATTATGCAAATTGTTTCCATAACTGTTTTCACAAGCCTCCTCTGGAGCTCAAAGCCAGACTCTCATTTAGTCAAGGTAACTTAGCTTGAGTTTAATGGATCAGAGGAGTCAGATGTGTGAGCAGCCAGACATCTGCTCTGCAAACGTCTTTGGTCTGCTTTTTGTGTTCAGCGTCTGTGCATCTTATTTAAAGTTAATCAACACACGTGTCAGACTTTGTGCATCACTTTACTGACAACAATCACAAATGACTCGACTAGAAAACTACTACTAGATACCAGTGTTTACTGCTGCATCTGTCATTGATTTGTACACTTAAAAAAAAAATGATTTTCCTATTTAATATTTTTGTCTTGTTTCCTGAAAAATGTATTAAAATGAATTTAATGAGTTTATGAATAAAACAATAAAAAATGTCAGAAAAATAAACTTAATTCAAAAAAGTTGATTTTTCATACCGCATTGGCAGATATTTGTTCTTGTTTTAAGTATAAACTCACTTTATGTTGGTGCATGTTTTTCAGAAAATAAGACTTAAAGGAATAGTTCACATAAAACAAAAATTCTGAAAAATGTCCTTCCTCTCAGGCCATCCAGGTAGATGAGTTTGTTTGTTCATCAGATTTGGAGAAATGTAGCATTGCATCAGTGTCTCAGCAATGGATGCTCTGCAGTGAATGGGTGCCGTCAGAATGAGAGTCCAAACAGCTGATAAAAACTTCACAATAATCCACAAGTAATCCACAGCACTCCAGTCCATCAGTTAACATCTGGAGAAGACAAAAGCTGAAACAAATCCATCAAGACGTTTTTCACTTCAAAGTCAAACCATTGCTTTCAGCTAAAATATGAATCTATAATCCATAATAACGCTTAATAACGCTTCCTCCAGTCAAAAAGTCCATCTCCTGTTGTCTCTCACATCAAAATCCAGCCACATATTTGTTTAGAGCTGTTTTGGCTTGTTAACAGTGCTTGATCTGAGCAGATTTCTCTCCTGATTCAGACTGGACCACTTTTTCACTGGAGGAAGCGTTATTATGGATTATGGACACATATTTTAGCAGGAAGCAATGGTTTAAAGTTAAAAACGTCTAAATGATGGATTTGTTTCATCTTTTGTCTTCTCCAGATGTTAACTGATGGACTGGAGCGGTGTGGATTACTTGTGGATTATTGTGATGTTTTCATCAGCTGTTTGGACTCTCATTCTGACGGCACCCATTCACTGCAGGGCATCCATTGCTGAGCAAGTGATGCAATGCTACATTTCTCTAAATCTGATGAACAAACAAACTCATCTACATCTCGGATGGCTGGAGGGTGAGCACATTTTGAGCAAATGTTCATTTTTGGCTGAACTATTTCTTTAATATCATATGTAATTTTGCTTCTCCACTAAATGTATCTTGATTTAGTTTCGCAATTTGTACTGGAAAACAAGATAAAATTTGCTAAATAAGTAAATAATTTTTGCAGTGTTAACATCTGTCAGGTCTGTGTTTGTTTTCTTGTCATTTGTGGCAGCAGGGGCCGATCTCATCATCAGTGTCAAGGGTCAGAGTGACAAGGAGGAAGGAGGTGATGATCACGCTGAAAGGAGAGAGAGAGAGGAACAAACGAGAAAACGAATGATAGGAATCTGACTGGGAGAGGGTCAGTGCTTCTATTTTTGGCATCTTAGAAAATGAAGAATGTACTTATGACAGCAGGATTATTTTATCTCTAATATTTATTGTATATTTGCAGTAAACAGCAGCTCATTGTGTCACTTACAGCATACAGTCTTACAGTAAATCAAGACACTTCAGCATTTTGCTCTTAATATATCTTTTTTTGTGGCTTGAGAGAAATATTCCATGAACGCATTCTAGATTTTTTTTTTCATGGTAAATCCATGACTCATTTTTCCATGGAGGAGGAATGGCCGCCGACTCCAGGGGGCCGACCAACGATGGCAGAGCAGGTGGTGGAGGAGCCTGAGGCGGAGATGGAGATCCAACGAGCCAGGGTGGAGCCGAGGGCTCTGGCAACCAAGGCCGAAGCGGAGATTTGCGGCGGAGCCGGAGCAACTGAGGACCAAGTTGGAGCTGGCGGGAGGAAGGAGCCCAGTAGAGCTGGAGGCGGAGTCTGGGCGAGCAGAGGGGCTGCCAGACGACAGCGGTGGAGGAGGCAGGAGTGGGTGGGAGGACGGGCATTTATGCGTCTCCAGGCGTTCAGGGCTTAACTCTGGATTGGAAGCCCCCTCTAGGCTGAACACGGGAACAGGATGGTGCTCAGGAGGAGCGGACACTTGAGGGCACTTACGAGGAGCTGGCAATGGAGGGCGCTTTCTAGGAGCAGGCACTGGAGGGCGCTCTGGACTGGATTCGGGGACTGGAGCCCTCTCCTCTTCGCTTTGGCACTTTCGCCACGCCATACTTAGCTCACCCTCAGCTGCGGTGCAGGGGGCGGAGCTCCTCTCTGTGCTCACACCGTCCGTGGCTTTCTCCCTCATGGCGGGCATTGTCGCTGGCTCTCGTACCTGGTCTGACGGCTTGGGCTCTACTTCCGGGGCGATCCTCCGCTCAGTTGCTCGGCATTGGTGGGCTCGGGCTTTAGCTCCGCACAGCAGGGAGATGGTGGGCTGGGCTCTGGGTCCGGAGTCGAGATCATCCTCGGGAGTGACGGTGAGAGATGACCCGTTTCTCGCCAGAATCCACTCCACAAATGCGCCGAAATCCTCTCGGGGACCATCTTTGGACGATGGCGCTCTGCACTCGATGTTTAGACTGGCGTCGCCCCCTGCTCCAGCAGGAGGAGGAGGTATTCGGGGTGAAGAAGGGCATCCATCCAGGGAACAACGGAAAAAAAAGACACTGTGTAAAAACGGGAAACAAAACGGAGGGTAGACACACGGAGGTTACTGTTTTGGTCAGTTCTTCTGTCATAATTAGTTCTTGAGGGAACACGCTGGAGTCACGAGGAAACGTCATTTCTGATTATTATCAATGTTGAAAACAGTTGTGCTGCCCAACATCTTTGCAGAAACTGTCATACATTCGATATTTGATGAATAGAAAGCCCAAAATAACTGATCAATTTATTTGAAATAGAAATCTTGGTAATTGCATATTGGAAGAACTGATTGTTGCTAAGCAACACTACACCCCATGCATCCCATAATTACACCGAAAGCAATTAGCTACAGCTTTTGTTAGGTGTAAGTTGAATAGTTTTCACTGTACTTTTTAATCTTACTTTCAATCTTCTTCCAAAAAGCTAAAAATATAACACACTTTATTATTCATATCTCCTAGATCCTCTTTGGTATTTTTGTCCTGAGGTTTATGTTGGATTTGATATCAGTCATGGGTATCAGCGTCTCTCTGGTTTAGAACAGGAGTTTTTTTCAACGCTTGAATAAGTTTTGAGAGTTGAAATGTGCGCAGAGCCCATGGAATTTATGTAAGACAGGCGGCTCACCACCAAACCATTTCACTCCCTTAACTCGACCAGAGCGATTCAGTGGACAACCTGTAATGTCCTTCTGATGAAAACCAGAAGCTCCATCATCTCACAGGTGTGACACGACCGGCCCTGAGCCAGACGTGAAAAGATGAGATGAGTTTTCAATATAGTGCAAAAGATTTCCAATACAACTCCCAGAGATGAACAGCATTAGGCCCAGAATATCTCCTCCTTACACAAGATTAGACACGAACATAGAAGCACAAGTGATGTTTCATTTTCTTAATCGCATTGCTTGTGTTTATGGTGACACTGATCGTGTTTACCCCGGAACAAAGTAAAAATGATCAAAGGCTTTGTTCAGATACCTGGATGACCCAAAGTCAGTCACGCTTTGCAAATGAGACGGGAAGGAATCAGCAGTGAGAGTTACACATAATACAAGATCAGCGTCTAACGCGAGACTCTTTGCATTATGTGTCTTTTTGTGGAGCTCAGTCTCAAATGTTGTCATTCTAACTATACATAATGATAGTTTTGTGATTTATTTATTTTATATGGAAGCTTATTTCCATCACGAGATAAAAAAATTAAAAAAATAAATAAAACTGATAATTGTGACTTATCAGGGTTTTTCTCTTGCAATTCTGAGTTTATATCTTTTTTTTTATAAAATTTCAAGATATGAACTGGCAAATGCGGGGGAAAAGTCAGAATTGTGAAAAATAAAAAATAAAAATTGTATACAAATTTTTTTTTAATAAAACATGAGAATTGTGAGATAAAAATTGCAATTACGTTTTTATTTTTCTATAAAAAAAGTGAGAATTGTGAGATAAAAACTCACAATTACCTTTTTATTTTTATTTTTTTTTCAACGTAGGCATCATCATAATCTTTTCGTCTGAAAGTGACAGCATTTTCTGCACATGACAATGAACAAAACGTATATGCCATTGTGTCAGATTCCTGAAAAATGACTCTTATGAACTGGTTCTTTTTAATGAGTTAGTTAAAATGATTCACGAAACTCGCTCGTAAATCAGTGCTTTCAGTCAGTGAATTGTTTATAGCCATTGCTGAGTTCATAGCCAGCGTTCCATGCGTGCGAGAATGAACAAAACACTTTCCATAATGACCGATTCCTGGAAAATGACTCTTATGAACCGATTCTTTTTAATAGGTCAGTAAAAACAATTCACAAAACATCCGCAAAACCCGTTTGTGATTTAGTGGTTTCAGTGAATGAATTGTTCATAGTTCATAACCAGCATTTCCTGTGAATGACAGTGAATAAAGCACGATCCGTAATGTCTGATTCCTGAAAAATGACTTTAATGAACTGCTTCTTTTTAATGGTTCAGTCAAAAAAAAAAAAATCACAAAACATTTGCTCATGATTTAGTGCTTTCAGTCACAACTGACTCCTTACTGAAGCCTGAGTCCTCTTTTTGGTTATGTCCGACTCAAGTTTAATGTCTTTCTATTGAGTTCTTTCATGTGAACAGCGTAGTCCGGTTCTTTTAGTGCATCATCAAACAAGTTATGACCAGTGTAGTCTGATTCCCCAATGAATCACTTACCATTTTGAATCAGTCTGTCAAATCATTTACTGAACTGAACCAATCAGGGCTGTGTTTTTCAAAAGCATCGTAAGCCTAAAAATAGATCATTACTACTGGCACTGTTTGAAGAATACGATGTATTAGCAGTTGTAGCCTAATATTTATATATCTACACTGTATTTCTAAGCTAAAAGTTCTGTGTTGTATGTGTGAAAGTCTTGCAGAAACAGTTTAGCAAAGTTTTTGATTCAGTCGTTTGTTCACGATAACAATAGTCTCATCGGTTGTTTATTGAGAAAGCCTCTGCAGAATGAGGACTTTGAAGGTTTTGGCATCTGGACGCTCTTTATCCAGGTAAAACAAAGCCTGAGAAAAAGGCTCCTGGGCTCATTTGTGTTTCTGCAGCTGTGAATCTTCAGAACACATTGTTTACTCGCTCGACTGCATCATCGTTCAGCTGCTTTTAGATCTCTCGCCTCTGCCTCAGCTTTATTCCAGCACACCTTTAAAAACCCCTAATTATTCTGTCATGAAGAATTGTATGACATGAAGTGGTTTGTTGTGGTCTGTTCTTTATAGTAGATTTTAGATTTGACAGTCACACAACTTTAATGACTTCCTCCTTGCATTAAAACATTGAAACTCAAAAGTCCTTGAGAAACCAAGTCCTTGAGCTCAAACAGGGCAGCAAGGCTCAACTTTTTTGGAAATTGCTCTCTATCGCTAGGCAACCGTGCATAATGTCCATCCCATAATTACACAAAATGCAGATAGCTACAGCCGATCCATAATGTGTATTTGACAGAAAACAAGAGTGTTTGACTTTGTCTATTCATCTGAATGAAGAAATGAGCAAGTCAGTTTATTTAATATTTTTCAATAATTGTATCAATCTTTACTAAATCAGCAGTAGCAATATTACATGTTCGAATACATAAAAGAGTTTTAGACAAGCTCGCCCATGTACAAAGGAGTATTAATGTAGTAATGCCGAACCGTTCTGTCCCTGTAGATATGAAATTATAGTCAACTCAAATCCAATGCAAACATAATAATTTGGAGACTCCTTTAACATCTGACAAAGAGATATGTATCTGATGATCAGCCATTCTCATCTCCTGCTGTCATTATAAACTGTATGTTGAATTTTCAAACAAAAGCTGAAAGATAGGAAAACGGCCATTACTGTAAGACTCTTCATATTAATAATACACACTAAGATTATTTAAACGGACGGGCTAGAGAATACCTTGCAGAAATACAGGCACTTTATGCACTGATATCCGGATGTCATATACTTTCTGTCTTCTTTTCAGAAATATACTTCACTGACATAATATACATTAATTCATTCTGCAAATACTCTTGTGCTTTCATTAACGTTGGTACAGTCTGATGTTGGTATTACGACAAAATATAGAAATAAAAAACTATTTGCAAGAAAAAAATGAAATGATTTCCTTTCATTTATAAAATGATGTGCTTATGTGGCCTTTTATGCTTCTGTGCATCAGTAAGCAACTAAATATGATCTGAAATGATGCAGATATGAATGTGTGGATCATTCTTAAGGCAACACTGTCTGCACGTATGATGAACAGTCTGTCTGTTTGAGTAAACAAAGATTTCTCCCATTCTCTC